ATATGATAATTGACTCTCTCTGCTTGACTTATTTCACTCAGCATAATCTCTTCCAGTCCCGTCCATGTTGCTACAAAAGTTGGGTATTCATCCTTTCTGATGGAGGCATAATACTCCATAGTGTATATGGACCACATCTTCCTTATCCATTTGTTAGGAAAATGCATTTTTTATAAGACTATCATTCTTTTGATATTTCTTTCAGAAGACATAATTTTTGAGCTACACTTTGTATTAGGGTCTTTGGGCAAGTATGAGAGAAAGGTAGAAGCCACCTGTTGAAGATAGGACTTAAAGAGGTATACTTAGTCTATATTTGATGTAACAACCAACAATACCAGAGTGGAGAGGAATGGAATCTTTTATTGAGGACATACATATTAATTCCATAAGGATTTTGTCATTGATCACCTTGAAATAAGAACATATTTTTCACAGTGAGGGCACTGATAAACTTTAAGTTTTTAAAAAATTTATCCATAAAGTGTTCATCATGAGTATTACTACTCAATGGAGATAATTTATCTCTGAAATACATCTCCTTAAAAATCAATTTGAGGGGCATCTGGGTGGCTCAGTCAGTTAAGTGGCTGCCTTCAGTTCAGGTCATTATCTCAGGGTCCTGGGATAGAGCCCCCTCATTGGGCTCCCCACTCAGCAGGAAGCCTGCTTCTCCCTCTGCCTGCTGCTCTCCTGACTTGTGTTTGCTCTCTTCCCCTCCTTCTCTCTGTGTTAAATAAATAAATACAATCTTTAAAAAAATAAAAATGAATTTGATAGTTATTGCATTAACTTTTGGGTAAAAACATAAATATGTGTATCAGTTATCTATTGTTATAATAATATCATAAGACTTAGTGGCTTAAAACAACAAATATTATTTCTCATGAGGCAATTATGATAATCTAGTCTCAACTCAGATGATGCCACCGAGGTTCACTTGAATGGGTAAAACTTGTCTGTTCTCCGTGTGGTCTCTCATCCTTAAGAGGCTTGCTGGTTTGTTCTCCAGTAGATGTAGGGTTCAGAGAATGGAACTGTTCAAGGCTTGCCAAGCACATGCTGAAAACTAGAACATCGCTTCCATTGGGTTCTTTTGGCCAAAGCAATTCACAAGGCCAACCCACATTCATAGGTGTGTGAAAAGATTCTACCTCTGGATGCGTGGGGCTGTAAAATCACATTGTGAAGATAGGGATATAAGGAAGCATTAATTGACCATCAATGCAAGCAACTTAGCACAGGGTGCTTCTGATACATTTATATTAATAATGTTTTGGTTGCTATATATTTAATTTAAGGTGGCAGAACTTTTTTTTTAATTAGTTACCTCTTTTCATATTTTGAACTTTGATAAATAGGACAGGTCTCAAAATAGTACTCACTTAAATAAAACTATGGATAATTGTAGTGAGTTCAAGGATCTTGGGGCTAATCAAGGAAAAGTTATGCCTATGAGGTGGTATTAGCACATAGCAAGCTATATTTGGGCATCATATGGACTGGTTTGCATGAGAGGGGATGTGTCTCATAGCAGAAAACCTTCCAGAGATGATGACATAGAACTACCACCCAGGAGGGAAAAGGGGTTAGGGAACTCCCATAGGAAAGGGAAGTCAAAGAGAAGGGTTACATATCTGGGTAGGTCACTCAGCAGCAAGATGGGGAGTCTCTGGATCAGAGAGTTCTGATCTGTAGTTGGTTGGGGTCTTTTATAGCCCTAAGGTTTATCTTATCTATGGCTAGCACATGTTGGTTGCAGTTTTGTGTGGTATGCAAAGCAGGTAGACTCTAAATGGCTGAAACTATACTTTTTTGGGAGATATTTAAAACAACTGGATGTCTAAGAATTTTAGGTTTGGAGCCAACAGGCTTTCAAGTGCTAGCCTGATGTAAGAAGTAAACAACATAGGGGCCAATGTGCAGGAATCATCTTTGGTTCATTTCTATAACTATGTTAGACATACTTCACCATTTTTAGCATCCCTCTTATATAATGAAGAAGAAAATCTTTGGTGTGGTCTTGAAGCCATCTGGAACACCCAAAAGATAGTTTAAAACATGTCATAATAGTTTTTTTTTAAGTTTGGGGTTTGGACCTGGAGAAAACAATATGGAAAGAATTGTTAGAGGAGCCAAAGTATAAGCAAAAGTCATAGGTGCCTTTAGAGTACAAAAAAAAAAAAATAATAACACAGCCTCAGTAACATTAAAAATTAGGAATACCAGATTTCACAAGAAGCAGACTAGAAAGAAAAAAAAAGATAATTATGATAAAGGGAATATTTTTGTCACATAGGTAACTTCTGTTGTCCAGGAAAGCTATATTGAAGGCACTAAATGATTTTCCCTTTGTTAAATTGAGAGCAGACTGTGGATTCAAAACTCAGTCTGTCAGTTTAACAGAAAGTAAATCAAATTCTAATCTTACTTTTTTTGTATACCACTTAAATAATATTTTGTAGTCAAAGATTGATGAGCATTTCTCTATTTTATGGTTAAGCTCATCAAAATTGACTTAACTTGATCAAAATTTGATATATTTTATAGCTTTTTTCAAATCCATTATTTGTAAATATAATTCACTTTACATCAAGCCTTCTATAAATTATTCTTCAACCTCAAATTTCCCTTTCTGTTATTCTTAGCATTCCAATTATTTAGAGAGGTACTATTGATGAGAGTCCGTATGTCTAAGGCTTAGGATAAAACTTATTACTTTTTAAGTTGATAAAATAACAGACAATACATATCCATCATTTTATAAACATGTTTGCATTTCTTCATTATTCTTTTACTTAATACAGTTCTAATTACTCATATTAACTATAGGTTTTAACCAAAATAACCAATTTCAATTCTCTCTCTCTCTCACGCACGCACACACACACACACACACACACACACACCCCTTTCACTTTTCACACACTTTGGCTAAGGACTCTGTCACATTCAAGGCAACTTAAGAGATGAGCAGAGCTCTCGTGCTTCAATAATCCACATCACACATCACTTTACAGTCATACATAGCTCTTTAAGATTTGTTTCTCTCTTCTTGTTAGAACATGGAACTTAAGGTATAAACTTGGCTGACTTGGGTATTTCTACAACAGTTCTCTTGTTCTTCTTAGAGAAAGGAGAAAAAGTCAGGAACTCAAATTTTGTTATATTTCACTATAGGTCTTGAAACTCCAGACAGCCAGAAGCAATCATGAACATTTTATATTCATTGCCAGTTTATTTCATACATCAAGACCCATTCATAAAAATTGATATATTAACCAAACAAGAATCCTCTTAGAAGGCCAAGCTCTCTTCTAAGCTATTCAAAATATATTTTAATTTAAACAAACAAACTGAATGTTTTCCATTATTTTCTTTGCCTTTCCTGGTAGCTTTGTCTAAGTAGAATATTTCTCCAGAACACAAAATTATATAGTTTTGACTCAATCTAAAAAAGTTTTCTCAGGAGAGAGGATGACAGAAAGAACCAGTCATAGAAAAGAGCTACAGTTACAAGAACATTGTACAAAGTTAACTTTTCCTTTGCAAGGAGAGTAAGGACTATTTTTCATTTATACACACAAGTTCAAAGAGAATGAATAGCCTTAGCTCTACATCTTTAGCTATAGGTTAAAAATAAACGTGGAACACAGTTTTCTGCACCTGAGCAAATTTCTCTCCTCAGTTGCGGTTGCTTGGGAGTAGTAAAAAGTTCTCTAAGGAATACTTGTAATGAAAGTCTCTTGATATGGAACTGATCTTCATTCCAGTGGGAACAAAATTGTCTCAAATATTTTTGGCTTTACTGGTATTCAAACAACATGTAATACAAGGCATATCAGAAGCTTCAAGACTCACAATAAAGGGAAGAAAAAGACTGAGCTGGGATTCTCTGTCATCCACCATCTACCACCAAACAGAGACTAGATGGCTGGTGAAATAATAAAAATCAGACTCCCAACAATTCAGTCACCAAGGAAAGAAAAATAATGTCATTTGTACAAAGTAGAACAGGACTCCTTGAGAACCAGCCTACTTCAGACATCAGAGTAAACTCCGAGGGAGAACAAATGCAGAAACAGAGCCATGATACTCACTCTGAAAATCAAGAAAGTTGGGCCTAGGATCCAGAGATCTATATACAGTCACTTTTTTAGGGCAAGACCCAGTTCTGGTGTTTGAATAGATCTGGGCATCTCCTTGGAATTTCAGCTGTGAAACTTACAGAAACAAAAGAAATTAAGAAGAAAAAAAGAATGTTTTATATGCTAAAAGTTGCAAGGAAACTAGCCTTTGACCTTTGGATGGCCTAGAAAAAACTGACTACCATATTAAAAAATAAAACATGTATAAATGAAAAAAGCAGACACAAGATTACCAAGATTGCAGTCTGTCTGTCTATAGTAGAAAGTCTGTAGTATTCTCATATATTTATCATCACTTCAAGGGCCAGCCACATCAGTATGTCAGGGCTTGTCATGGTTTCCATTATAGTTGCCTGCTCCTGTGATCCCGTAGTCCATGACCTTGACAACATATCACCATGCATTTCAATTGAGAGCCTTTGTTAAGATCATTTTTCAGATGATTGGTAAGCAGAGTATCAGTGCCAAATTATTTTGATGTAGTTTTCAATTATAAATAGCTTCTGAGATAGGAAAGTTATTTTGACTAACCTCCTTTGTCATATGAAAATATTTTGTTCCTTCAATATTATATCCGACTTTTGAATAGTTACAGATAAGCTTTGACAAATTTGCTTCCTTTTGGATTTCCTTTTTTCACAAGGTTCATTTTATGTATGTTATATTGATTCTGGCATATTCAAACTTCTTTGGAGAGTCCTATTGATATGTCCAGGTGATGTATATGAAATCTATGTACGAATTATAATACATTTCCTATTTTAATACATTTATGATTGAAATGAATTTAAGACTTTTCAGATGTGATTATTTTCTTATTAACTATAAGAAAATTTTATGTTTTATTTTTAGGCTGAAGTCTATTCTAAGTAAAAGTGGCAAACTCGACAATAAAGTTAAAAGGATTGGACCACACATAGAAATTTTCCAAGTGTTCCGGGAAAGGACCAAACTCATAAATAACAAAAAAGTAGTTAGAATGATCACCATCATGCAAGCCTATGTCAGAGGATGGCTTGAACGCAAAAGATTGCAGAGAATAATGATCAAGGTAAAGCATGTGTTAAATATAATGTGCACAAATTTTCTTATGTAGATATTAATCAAGTTTTGAATAATAATCTGGTCAATGTATCTATGATAAAGTTCTGACTACATTCTTTTCATTGAGAAAATGTTACGAATTATCTACTCTGCTGACAGTTTCAGATTTGGTCAAACCGGAGAATCTGAACAAAAGGCCCAGTGTATTCTTGACCCAATAGTTCTGGGACCACTTTTATTCTAAAGTCAGGACCACCTGTCCTTTCACTAATTTTGTTTCACCTTTTTGCTCTTTATTGTCCATATAAAACAATTTTCTTCCACTTCCCACACTCCTAGACACTCTTGTATAGCATACATATTCAACTCAAAAAGAATTATACACACACACACACACACACACACACACACACACACCACCCCTGAGCAACTTGCATAAGGAACAATCTTAACTTTTTAAAAATAAATATCTAGGATCTATTTTGTCTGACAACCATTAATTCTTTGATCTATGAGTATGTTTATGGTTTGTTTTGTTAGTTCATTTGTTTTGTTATAGATTCCACATGTAAATGAAATCATATAATATTTGTCTTTCTCTGCCTGACTTATTTCACTTATTTCAGCACAATACCCTCTAGATCCATCCATGTGGAAAATGGCAAGATCTCATTCCTTTTTAAGGCTGAATTATATTCCATCGTATCTATCTATCATCTATCTATTATCTATCTATCATCTACCTATCTATTTATCTATCTATCTACCATCATCTATCACATCTTTATCCACTCATCTATTGGTGGACATTTAGGTGGCTTCCATATCCTGGCTATTGTAAATAAAGCTGCATTGAACATAAAGGTGCATATATCTTTGAATTAGTGTTTTAATTTTCTTCAAAAAATACCAAGAGTGGAATTGCTTGATTGTATAGTAGTTCTGTTTTTAATTTTTTGAGGAACATTTGTGCTGTTTTCCATAGTACCTGTATCAATTTACATTCCTGCCAATAATGCACAAGGGTTTTCCTTTCTCCACATCCTCACCAATACTTGTTATTACTTATCTTTTTGATAGTAGCCATTATGACACATGTGAGGTGATATCTTATTGTGGTTTCAATTTGCATTTACTTGATGGTTAGTGATATTGAGCAGCTTTCATGTACCTATTGGCATCTGTATGTCTTCTTTGGGAAAACAACTCTGCCTATATTTTAATTGGATTTTTAAGAATATTTAGTTGTATGAGTTCTTTATATATTTTGAATGTCAACTCCTTATCTAATATGTCATTTGCAAATAATTTATGCCATTCATTAGGTTGTTTTTTCATTTTGCTGTTGGTCCCTTTTCCTGTGCAACAGCTTTTTAGCTGGAGATAGTCATATTTGTTTATTTTTGCTCTTGTTGTCCTTGCCTGAGGAGACGGATCTAAAAAAATTACTGCTAAGACCAATGTTCAAGAGCTTACTACCTGTGTTCTCTTCTAAGAGCTATATGTTTTAAGGACTCATTTAAGCCATTAATACATTTTGAGTTTATTCTTGTTTGTGTATAATAAAGTGAACCAGTTTCATTCTTTGGCATGTAGCTGTCCAGTTTTAACAACATCATTTATTGACGAGACTGTCTTTTCCTCATTGTATATTCTTACCTCTATTATCATAGATTACTTGACTTTATAAGTGAGGGTTTATTTCTGGGCTGTCTATTCTCTTCCATTGATCTATGTGTCTGTTTTGATCACTGTTGCTTTGTAGCATAGTTTGAAATCCTGGAACATGATACCTCCAGCTTTGTTCTTCTTTTACGAGATTGTCTTTGTTATTTGGAGTTGGTTTGGTTCCGTACAAATTTTAGTTTATTTTAATTCTGTAAAAATATGCTACTGTTATTTTTATAAGGATTGCAATGAATTTGCAGATGACTTTGGGAGTATGGACATCTTAATACTACAAAAAAAAATTAATGGTATACTGTGTGGTGACTGACATAACATAATAAACTACAAACAAAAAACAATATTAATTTTTCCAATCCATGAGCATACTATGTTTTTATATTTAATCATATTTGATTTTTTTTCATCAGTGTCTTTTAGTTGTTAAAATACAGTTCTTTTATCTCTTTTGTTAAATTTTTTTCTAGGTATTGTATTCTTTTGGATGCACTAGTAAATAAGATTCTTTTTTAAATTTCTCTTTCTGATAGCTTGTTATTACTATAAAGAAACATATTTCTATATATTGATTTTATAGCCTACAACTTTACTGAATTCATTTATTAAACCTAATAGTATTTTGGTTGAGTCTGTGTTTTTTTATATGTAGTATCATGTCATCTGCAAATAGTGATGATTTTATTTCTTTTTTTCCAATTTGGAAGCCTTTTATTTCCTTTTTTCCCCCCCTAATTACTGTGTCTAGGACTTCCAATACAGTGTTGAATAAAAGTGGTGAGAGTGGGCATCTTTGTTTTGTTCCTGATCTTAGAGGAAAAGGTTTTGGCTTTTCATTACTGAGTATGATGTTAGCTCTAAGTATGTTATATATGGCCCTTTTATTAGTTGAGTTATGGTCCCTCTATACCCATTTTATTGAGAGTTTTTATCATAAGTGAATGTTGAATTTTATCAAATTCTTCTTCTACATCTACTAAAATGATCATGTGATCTTTACCTTCATTTCCTTAATATGGTGCATCATGTTGATTGATTTATGGATGTTGTAACATTCTTGCACCCCTGGAATAAAGTTCACTTGATCATGGTATATGAACATCATAATGTACTGGTTCTACTTAATGAACTCAGGTTCCTAATATTTTGTTGAGGATTATGGTATCTGTGTTCATCAGGGACTCTGGCCTGTGATTTCTTCTTTTCTCCTTTCCTTTCCTTTCCTTTTTTCTTTCTCTTTTCTTTCCCTCTCCTCTCCTCTCCTCTCCTCTCCTCTCCTCTCCTCCCTTCCCTTCTCCCCCTTCCCCCCTTCCTTCCTCCTTCTTTCCTTCCTTCCTTCCTTCCTTCCTTCCTTCCTTCCTTCCTTCCTTCCTTCCTTCTTTCTCCTTCTCTGACTTTGGTATCAGGGTAGTACTGGCCTCATAAAATGAGTTTGGAAGTGTTCATTCTTTCTGTTTTTTTGGTAAGAGTTTGAGAAGTATAGGTGTTAAATATACAGTAATAGTGTTTCTCAAATGCTTCCAAAAAATTGAAAGAATGAACACTTCCAAACTCATTTTATGAGGCCAGTACTACCCTGATACTGATACCAAAGTCAGAGAAGGACATCACCAAAAGAAAGAAAGAAAAAAAAGAAAAGAAAAACAGAAGAGAAGGAAAAAAAAAAAAGAAAAGAAAAAAATCACAGGCCAGTGTCCCTGATGAACACAGATACCATAATCCTCAACAAAATATTACGAGACTGAATTCAATAGTACATTAAGATGATCATATACCATGACCAAGTGAACTTTATTCCAGGGGTGCAAAAATGTTTCAACATCCATAAATCAATCAACATGAAGCACCACATTAACAAAATAGAGGTAAAAATCACATGATTATTTCAGTAGATGTAGAAGAAGAATTTGATAAAATTCAACATTCACTTATGATAAAAACTCTCAATAAAATGGGTATAGAGGGACCACACCTTAACTCTGTTTCATTTAGGTCTTTTTCTGAGGTTTTATTTTGTGCTTTTATTTGGAACATATTCATCTGTTTCCTCATTTTACTTGACTTTCTGTTTGTTTCTGTGTATTAAGTGAAACAGTTACCTTTAGCCTTGTGTAGGTGATAAAACTTCTCATTCAACCTTGCTTTAGCTCTTAGTTGTTTCTTGAACCTTTGTGATTGTGTAAGCAGCCTGATTAATTTTTGATAGGTCCCTATTACTGAGGTGTGCCAAGTCCTGCCAGTGTCCCAAGGAGAGGGATCTCATTTAGTACCAGGTTTCAGGCTGACTGGAAGCCAGACCCTCAGGCAGTAGCTTTAAAAATATTCAATTATACAGTCCTGTGGGGCTACAACTGTAAATCCTACTGACCTCCAGAACAGAAAATCTAGAGAATTCCTCTGAGTGATAGTTGTAAAATTTGGGGCTCCAGGTGATTAAATATATAATCTTCTTTTCTGGAATTATTGTTGAGGAATAGTGAGGCCAAGAAGTATGCAAGGCTGATGTCGCCCAGCTTACATTCCCTGAGAGTGCTTCTGTAGACTCTAGATGTGTTGCAAACCTGAAGCCTATCCTTTAGACTGAAGCTCTGTGACAAGTAAGTCACAGAGTCCTGTTTCTACAGGAAAACTGGGGGTGTATTTCAGTCTGCTGACTGTGGTTCTGTGGGAGGTAGTTTGCCAAGAGCTCTTTCCAATGGAAGTACTGTGCAGCCTAAGAACGTGAACCCTCTTGACCACTAGGGCCAGGCAACCAACAGGCATCGTCTGTGTGCATTGTGCATACCCTCTGACTTTAGCAAGGCACGTGAAGAGTGTAGGGGGCAGGGCACACTCACTGGCTTCAGCAAGGCTGTGGGAAAATTCTTTGTTTGCATATGGCTGTGGCCTTAGAGATGTAGTAGGAGAACGTTTTGTTTGTGTGTGCCTGCTAGCTTTAGCAAGAGAGTGGGAGAATGTCATGATCACTTGCACTTGCTGGCCCCAGCCAGGTCACAGGCTTTAGCAAGGGACTGGGAGAATGTTGTGACTGCTCACACACATGGGCCCCAGCCAGTGTCACCACCGTTCACCCGTGCCAGCCTTAGCAAGGCAACAGGTTAGCACTAAATCTGCACATACCTGCCTGTGCTGGCCAGGTTGGAGAGAGTGCAAAATGGCATTTGCCAGTGTGTCCATCTCTGAAGAGAGTCCCAGCTGTCCCCCGCCCCTTGTCTTAAGACTAGCAAATGAATTCCCTTCACATGTAGTCCAGGTGCTTTTCAAACTTACTTTTGTGCTGGGTCCTGAGATTAGTGAGACTATAGCCGAGCCTTTTAAAAAGAG